ACATATGTATTCAATTGAGTCCAGTTATTTTTACTGAGTTGCCCATGTGTCCCAGCCTTGGGCTGTTTTGAAAAGTAGGAGAAGCGAGTTTTGTCAATGGATAATCTTTTGGTCAGCCAGAGCTGAGCTTTTTAGATCCCACGTAGAACAACTGTCAGAGCAAAAGGACTTCTACCCCTTTAGCTTTCTCCATCCACCACACCTCCTCTGTGTAGGAGACAATCACGTCTTGAGAGGAGGGACTAGGGATTTTTGTTTGTTTGTTTGTGTTGGGGTTTTCTGCCATTCTTTGTATCTCCATTGCTTAGCATAGTACCTGGCACATAGTAGGCACTTAATAAATGTTTGTTGATTGACCTGCTGACAACTACCCTCACTGGTTATTTAAAACAAAAGGAAGAAGGCAATTGGTGGGATCAATTGCCTCCTCAGGTGATACCACTCCTCCTGTTTTGGGGTATATAGAATTACAGAAAATCAGAAGGGAAAGGGCCCTCAGAAACCATCTAGTGCAGAGATTGGTGAACCTGCAGCTTCAAGGCCACACGTGACCCTCTCTGTCCTCAAGTGTGGCCCTTTGACTGAATCCAAACTTCACTGAACAAATCCCCTTAGTAGAAAGATTTGTTCTGCAACACTTGGACTCAGTCACTTGTCTAAGATTTCACAAATAGCCTAGTGCCATTAGGCCTCATCCTGGCCAGGAGAAGACTCCAGCTTCCTGACTGGAGGCTTGTCCCTCGTATCACTACCTGTCCCTCACATTACTACTTCAATTACACAGATCTTGATGCTATATAGGAAAAACAAATCTGAGAACCACAAGGGACCATGAATTATTGCTCCATGTTTGGAAGCATGTCTCAGACCAGCCATCTAGGGCCTTCCTTCACCTAGTACAGAATGGCCAAGGCAGCAGAGAAGGAGAGAAGCTGGGGTATGACGTAGCTCTCTAAGGGCTGTAGAGACCTTTCTATGTGTTAACTCATTCCAACCTCACAACAACTCCGAGGGAGGTTTTATTATTATCTCCATTTCACAGATGAAAACAACTAAGGCACAGAAAGGACTACGTGGCTTCCAGGGTCATAGAGCTAGTAATTATCTGAGGCAAGGCTTGAACGCAGGTGTTCTTGACTCTAAGCCTTGTGCTCTATCTCAAAGCAGGTGCACCGGGAGAGATTTATTTAATTATACCACCTAGCTTCCACTTTCTCTGTTTGATGACCAAATCTCCGGAAATCAGACTAGCTGATAGATCCCATAGTCCAAGCTTGGGATTAAAGGAAAGTAGGAAAGACAGAAAGAAGGTTAGAGGGATGAAGGGAGGGGTGTCTGTGAGGTGCCAAGGACAAGAACATATGACGCTTTTCTCATTGACAAAGAGGCTTTCCTTTCCACTGATTATTGCTCCTCCAATCCTGGAATGCTTTCCCTTTCCCCTTCAGCCGTTGAAATCCCTGATTCTCTTCACAACTCAGCTCAAGTACCCCAGGAAGCCTTCACTGATCCCCTCAGCTGCTAGTGCCTTCCCTCCCTCCCCAAACATTCCATACATATTGTCTCACCAGTAAACTCCTTGGGGGCAGGGACTGTCAGTCAATACTCAACAAGCATCTATTAAATTTATTTATTATGTGCTAGGTATTGTGCTAAGAGCTGGGGATACAAAGAAAGGTAAAAACAGTTCCTGCCCTCAAGGAGCCTCCATTCTAATCGAAGAGATAATATGTAAGTAGCTAGGTTGATAGAAAATAAATATAGTTGATGATGGGAAGGCACTAGTGGCTGGGGGTACAGGGAAAGGCCTCCTGAAGAAGAAGGGATCTAAACTGAGTTTTGAAAGAAGCCAGGAAAACCAAAAGACAGAAGTGAATGAAGAAGGAGACCATTCCAGACATGAAGATAGCCACTACAGAGGCATGGAGATGAGAACTGGTGTGTATTATGTGCAGGGGAGAGCAAGTAAGTCAATGTGGGTAGATTGTAGCATTCATGGAGGGGAATAAATTGTAAGAAGACTGAAAAGGTAGGAAGGGACTAAGGTCATGAAGGGTTTTAAATGCCATATGGGAGACTTTATATTTGGTCCTGGAGGCAATAAGGAGCCTTTGGGGTTATTGAGTGAGGGTGACCTGGTCAGACCTTCAATTTAGGAAACTCATTTTGGTGACTGAGTACAAAATGGATTGGAATTAATGAAAGGCTTGAGGCAGGAAGACCAATTAGGAGGATAATGCAACGATCCAGGCAGCAAGTGATGAATGAGGTCCTGGACAACAATGGCGGCCATGCTGGTGGAGAGAAATGGACGCATGTGGAGATGTTGTGAAGGAGAAACAATGAGATCTGACGACAAACTGGATATGTGGGGTGCATGGGAGTAGGGAGTGGAAGACAATACTGAAATTTCGAGCCTTTGTCTTTGTGTTGCCAGCACCTCCCACAGTGCCTGGTTCATAGTGGGCATTTAGTCAATGCTTATTGGTTGGCTCATTAATTTGACTGAGAAGAGCGGAGCTGAGTAGGATAAGCACAGAAAACGGCCACTTTCTCAGCTGGGGCTTGGCTCTACCATGATGGGTTTCCTGGTGCCCAAATCACTGAGCCGCCCCATGAGATGAGGCCTGGCCCTGGCTCCAGCAGGCCCCACTTTCCATTGCAGGTGCCCTCGGAGAGATTCATTTTGTTATCCTGGTCCTCAGTAAGATATTTGTGTGTGCAAACTTGCACACACGGGCACACACATGCACCTGTACACTCATGCACAAGCACATGCATACATGTGCGTGCACACACAAAGCTTTCTTCTCTCGGGATGTCTGTTCCACTTCTAGTCTCCTTTGGAATTGGGCTGTTCTGACCTCAACCTTCCCCAACGCAGGGGTGCTGCTTCCTCCAGCCCCCTCTGCTGCATGCTCATGGCTGGTGGGTGTTTTCCTAATTATTTATTGAATGGCTTAAAAAATAAAACAGGACTTCTGATGTTGCTCCCAGCAGTGAGATGTGGTCCCTGTAGGAGTCAACCCAGTGTGAACTCAGGCCTGTGCTAGTGAAGGAGGGGAGAGGCCAGAGAAGCCTGTGTGAGGCTGTTGGGAAATGTGTCCATGTTACACTGGCTTGGGACAAGAAGGCAAGGCAGGGGACAGGAGAGGGAGGGAAGGCGGGCGACTGCTTAGTGTCCAGGAACCCTGCAAGGAACAGTAATGTCAAGTTGTGCAGGCCTTACAGAGGTCATTGAATGCCACGGGCGGCTCCTTCCCCTGGCTTCCTCTGCCAACAAGCGCTAATCCTGTTCTATCGGTAGGAAGCCCGCAGGGTTAATGGTGCTAATCAGGCAAAGTCTGTGCCTGGTCTAAGGCATAAGTTAATTTCTAATCTCTCTGTCTCCAGACTCTCTCCCATCCAGTTCAGCCTTCAATGGTTGCCAGAATAATTTTCCCAATATATGGCTCCAATCACATCCCTCCCCTGCTCAGAAACATTCAGAGCTCCCTACTGTTCGTAGGATAAAGTCCATAGCCTGGCATTCAAAGGCCTGCACAAACTTGCCCCAAATTTGCCTTTCCTGCCCATTCTTTGGTAAGGTCAAATGAATCAGTCACTTAATCACCCCCTACTCCGATGAAAGTAATTAAGACGCCCTACTGCCCCATCCTTTCAACAGAAATTTCACCTTTAGAGATTCAATCGATCCATGCGAGGCATTGGACAACGGCCAAAAGTCCTTAGTCATTTTGGGAGGAGGGGTAGCCATTGGATCAGAGGATACGATGCTACACAGGAAATGCATGGGGACTGGGGTGATGACATTCAGTCATGCCCTGTGGAGACTCTGATAAAATAGCAAGCCAGCTCAGCACCCAGTATTTCAATACAGAGTCAGTGCCATGACGGAAGCAGCTTCAGTCAGGTCCTTGGAAGAGAAGTACTTAGAGACAAAGAGCCTCTGCCCAATCCCCCCTCTCTGCATGTGTATATAGACATACATATACATGTAAACATATAAACACACAGACATACATGTGCATACTATATGCATGTAAACAATACTACATGTTATGTATATCACATGTATATAAATGATGTACATATAAATATGTAAATTTATTTATGTGTATAGATGCATGTATATAAGTAAATATGTTTAAAATCTGTATGTGTATATAAATGAATATGTGTATTTGTAAAATTGGCTTATGGTTTAATGGATAAAAAAGGCCGGACTTTTAGTCAGGAAAACCTAATCTGACCTGTCTCTCACACACTCCAGTAGATGCGAGGTGCAAGGGCAAGCGGAAAATAGAGAAAGGGTAGGAAAGAAAAGAAAAGAAAAGAAGGTCAATGGGGCATCTTTTTTTTTTTAAAGCAGAGAAGAGAACAGAAGGAAAGCCAGAAAGAAGTCCAAACAAGCAGGATAACTTTGAAAACTACAGGTTGACCTTATTATATACTTAATAAGATAAGTAAGCTGTACATAATGGAGATCTACAGTTCTATGCACAATCTTCTTTTTCTATTCTGCAAATGGAAATGCCTGTCTTTGTGGTGTTTAAGAATAAAAATCTATTTTAAAAACAAACAAAATCATTCCTGCATCTCCTAATGCAGAAAGTATGGTTTTCGTCTCCCCACCCCATCCCCATTCCCAGCTTCCAGCTCTGTGTGTCTCCTGGAAGCCAACAACAAAGGCCAGAGACATTAGCCCAGGAGCTGGCGAGTGACGGCGCTCCAGGGAGCTTCCGTTTCTGATGGTGACATTTGTTCTGGCTTTCTGGCTAAGCTACATCTTGTGATTGGTCTTTAGGACCCTCTTTTCCTGAGCGCGTGTACCCAAAGGGCTAGGCTGCGGGGCTGCTCGGCCAGATGAGGCCAAGATCCTACCTGAACCCATACCATTAGACCCTCTCCTCCTCATTGCCCCCCAAGATCTTCGCAGGCTAGCCAGGGCAGGGCTGGGGCCCAGCTGTCTGGGGCAGGAGACGCCTAGCCCCTCTCACCTTATCACGGATCCCTTGTCTCATGACCTCCCGCTCGGCCTCCATTTTGGCATACTTGGCTTTCCTCTCCTCCTCTTCCTGCCGAAGGGCTTCCTGGCGTTCCTCCTCTTTCTTGGCTGCATCAGGGTCTTTCTCTTCATCTCCACCGAGCATCTTCCCCATGTCCTTGGTGGCCCCTGGGGACAAGTAGCAGAGTCATTAGCATGGCTTAGTAGGGGCTCAGTGTATAAGTGAGCACAAATATGAGTGCATGTTCATGGTGAGTGTGAGCATACATCAATGCAGGAGGCTACATCACTCCCACTGGTGACCAACAGATCTCAGGCAGGTCCCAGCACCTACTGCTAACCTAGGCTTCTAATGACAGTCCCATCCTGGCTCCACCTGCTAAGCCTGGTCGAGATCCCAGGATAATCAATTAGAGTCAGAAAGACTTTAAAGGTCCTCTAGCCTTGTTTGGGTCATGGAAACCTTTGGCAGTCTGGTAATGGACCACTTCTCAGAATCATGTTTATAAATTCATAAAATAAAATACATAGGATTGATTACAAAGGAAGAAATAAAAACGTAATTTTTTTCCCCATTCAGGTTCATGGATCCCCCTGAAATCTATCCATGAGCCACAGGTTAAGAACCCCTGATATAGTCCAATTCCCTCATTTTTTACAGACAAGGCAACTGGGGGCCCAGAGAACATATGACCTCACCCAAGGTCCTATAGGTAGTAGTTGGCAAGACCCAAGTTCTCAGACTTCAAATCCAGTGTTCTCTCTACTGTACCACACTGTCCAATAATGGATTGTTTCCTGTCCCTCTTCCTCTATCCTTGGTATACCAATACTACTTGCTTACTCTACCCCTCTTGCCTCTGCCTACCCTCATGCCAGGCTGAGGATCTGTGTATTGGTGGGTATGATTACATATCTCTAAGGGGCCAGGGGAAGTGTGTGAAAATATGTGTTTGTGACTTAGTATATTTATCTGTGTGTATTTCTCTCACTGGATACATCTGTGTTTTGGGAGAAGCAGGGAGAACTGGACTGGGAATGATAGGTAGCCCAGGAGTGGATACCGTTCAGCTTCTAGCTCAGTGGCTTAGTGGGCACAGGGTAGACTGGGCCAGGCCTGAGCCCTAGTCTCAGGACTCTGGAAGCTGTGCCTGGTGGGGGTGGAGGATGGGGCTGCAGGGGCTGGTGCCAGAGTCCTCACTCCTGCCCTGACTTTGCCAGCCACCACTTTTCCAATGAGCAGCTGATTCACAGGCCCCTTGCAAGCCGCCCTCAACGCCCTCCTTGTAGTCGGGTAATTACACCCTCTCCAAGGCTCAGCCAAGACCCAGCCCAGCCTCTTGGCTCAGAAAATCCCCTGCCTGGGAATAGGGAGGTCTGGAGGAATCTACCCCCAGCGCCCAAAGTTGGGGGATGTAGAAAATCCTTCCCCTCAGAGTTATAGAGGCAGATCTGGATCCCTAGGGCCCGGAATAAACCAGCCAGATTCCCAGAGCTGGACAACTGCCTATAGCTACCCCAGCAAGAGGGGACTCGATGAGAGACAAGTCATTGATGAGCTCTGTTGTTCAGAGCTTAGCACGGTGTCTGGTACACAGTAAGAGCTTAATAAATGCTTGTTGACTTGTACTCTCAGAAACCTTGGTTCCCCATCGCCCACAGGACAAAGTCCAAGTCCTCAGCTTAGCCTTGAAGGCTGTCCAATCATCGAGCCAGGTAACATTCTCTCCTACTGCTCCCCTTAACACTCTTTATATTTCAATAAATCTGGATGACTTTCTGTTCCCCAATGACACTCTGTGATCTCTCGGTCTTATGCTTTTGTTTGTGCTCTTGCCTCCGATTGGAATGTCCATTCCCCAACCTGATTTGTTGAAATTCTGTCGTTGTTGTTCAGTGATGTCCAACCCTTTGTGAACCCATTTGGTGTCTTCTTGGCAAAGATACTGGAGTGGTTTGCCACTTTCTTCTCCAGCTCATTTTACAGAGACAAACACGGTTAAATGACTTGCCCAGGGTCACATAGCTACTAAGTGTCTGAGTCTGGATTTGAACTCAGGTCTTCCTGACTCCAGGCCTGGTGCTCTATCCACTGCACCACCTAGCTGCCCATCCTGGACCACCATGCTCTTGAAGGCCAGGATCAAATGCCACCTCTTCCATGAAGCCTTCCTCAAACCCCACAATAGGAATCAAACTGTCTTGACTCTGAACCCCCAATAGCACCTTGTCTGAACCTCCCTCATGATCTGTGTCCCATTCTGCCCTGATAAGAAGAACAGACATGCAGAATAAAGTGGATAGGGTCAGGATGACCTTCTTTCCCTTACTAGACTGGCAGCTTTCTGATGGCAAGAGCCAGATCTGGTTTATTTCTGCCTCCCCTTGGTTTAATAAAGTATTGGGCCCCATGCAAATGCTTATTGTGTGAATGAATGGCTATGAACGGGAGGCCCAGGTCAGGTAAGTTCTTGATTACTTGAACTAATTCAATTCCATAAACATTTATCAAGCGCTTATTATGCACCAGGCACCATGCCAAGTCCCAGGGATACAAAAAGGGGCAAAAGACATTCCCTACCCTCAAGGAGCTTATAATCTAATGGATATACAGAGGAGAAAGGATGAAGGATCAATCCCAGTCTCAGTCATTCAGCACATCTTTACTGAGCCCCCCCACAGGCCAAACTCTGAGTTTGGCCCCACATGGGGGGAGGTGGGAGAAGGAAAGGATTCAGGCCCCATAGTCAAGCAATTCTCAGATTAGGGAAGTCAGAGGAAAAATAGACCCAGACCCCACCCAACCCCCCTTCAAGAAGCTAACAGCCTGGGAAGTAGACAGAGAAGGAGCAGGTGGATATATGCCCAACAGCAACACGTTTGGGCAGACTGAAAGAGATCAGAAAATAATCGGATTTAGAGTTCAAAGGGGCCTTGGAAAATATCTAATCTAATCCTCTTATAGCACAGATGAGGAAACTGAGGCTTACAGACTTAATAATTGTAGCCTGAATTTATATGTTGCTTTAAGTGTTGCAAAGTAATTTATATACATTTCTTCATTTGATACTCACAATAGCATTCATCGTAGGATAATGTGCTATTATTAGCCACGTTTTCCAGAGGAAACATTCTCAGAGAGGTTAATGACATGCCTATTTATGATGAAACATGCGATTCACCTCCAAATAGAGAGGTGGGTGGTGATGGATTCATAGTACAGATGGAGACAATTAAATTGGGGGGGGGCATAGCCAATGCAAGAATTTGGTTTGCTTAACTGCTGGTTATAATAGGTTTTGTTTTTCTTGTTTTCTCAACGGGGACGTGGGGGGAGAGGGAGGAGAAGAAAATACAGTCCTGAAAATAAAATAAAATTTAATTTAAAGAAACTACTCACCGAGGGTCACAGGGCTAGTAAGCACCTAATGCAGGATTTGAATCCAGGTCTTTCTGGCCCCAAGTCCAGTACTCTATCCACCCCATCACATAGATTCAACTTGTCCACCATCCCATAGGCAATAAGTGTATAAGCTGGAATTGATTGGGGTTCAAGTCCCCTGATCAAAAGTTCAGCCCCATTGCTACTACATTAAGTGGCCCAGCTGACATTCCTAGGCACAAATCCCACTAATTCCATAACAGTTAGCTCCCCACCCCACTCACTTTGAAGTTGCTGCTTGTACCAGACTGTATGTGTTTATTCACCTGGGATCCGCCTACCCACTTCACCGCCTGTGGTTTCTGATCCTGCATTGACACGGTTTTCTGTCCCTGAACCAACCTCAAAATTCTGTTTTAAGCCCCAATACCCCACTTCCTGAATGACTAAGACACCATGATTCTGGCTTTAGTACTTACCAGGTCTGGTAAGAGAGGGTCTGACGAATTGATATGGTGGCTTACAGGAAAGAGAGCTCATTTCTAATTGGGGTGTATCAGGGAAAAGGTTGAAAAAATGAAGCCATTTGATCTAGAATTTCTAAAGATAGTTAAGATTTCAATAAGGGCAAATGAGAGGGATAGCATGCCGAGTAGAGGTAACTGTTGTGGTCAAGGGCTCAGGAGCAAGAAATTGCAGTGTGGGATTAGGCTAGACTGGCTAGAATGTAGAGTACATACATGAAGGGGATGGGGGCGGTATTAGTATGAGATAAAGCTAAAGAGTAGATTTGAGCCAGCTTATAGAAGGCTTTGAATGCCAGGGTAGGTAAAGAATTTCTATTTTAATTTAGTAGACAATGAGGAATGATGGGGAACCCCAGAGAATTTTTGAGTAGGAGATTGATGAGATCAGAGTGCTCTAGTCCTAAGACTATTTATACACAGCACGTGTAAGATGAATTAGAACAGAAGAGACTGGAGCCAGGGAGATTGGTTAGAAGGCTGTTTCCACTAAGAACTCCGTATCTCTTTCACATTGTTTGCAAGACATGCCTGGAGATGGCAGAGGCAACACAGAGTCATGTTAGACAAGGCCAGTGGGAGGCAGGACCACAAGATAATAGTCTACAACTGAGAGATGCTATACTTTTTGCTTCGGGCCTGGCCGAACCCATCCGTGCACGTACTTCTAATACTAAAAAGAGCTAAAAGCACTCATCAAGATCAGGGGCTCTTAGCCAGAGGCAGCTGGGTGGTGCAGTGGCTAGAGCAGTAGACCTGGAGTCAGGAAGATCTGAGCTCAGATCCCACTTCAGACAATTACTATGGCAAGTCTCTTAACTTCTGTCTGCCTCAGTGTGCTCAGCTGTAAAATAGAGACAATAATATCACCTTCCCTCCTAGGGCTGTTGTTATAATCAAATGAGATATTACTTATAGAGTGCTACATAATGCTAGTTATTATGATTAATAAACCGTGAACTCATTTTGAAAATATTTTTTTGATTACTGTGTTTCATTACAACTGGTTTCCTTTGTTTTTGGTGCTTTTGAAAACATTGCTCTGAGGACGGGTTCATAGGCTTCACCAGAACACCCAAAAGGTCCATTACCCAAACAAGGTGAAGAACCCCACGGTTCTAGGTCAACTTCCACATTTTATAGTTGAAGAAACAGGGGCTCAGAGAAGAAAAGAGAGTTTCCCAAGGCATTATCACAAGTTGTTGACTACGCAGAGAACCCAGGTTCCCCACACCCCAGCTCGAGGCTCTTTCCTCCCCCTG